AATAAAACAATACGATACTTTTGCGAAAATAAACATTAAATTATTATTTAAATTAGATTTTTAAAAAAAGTAGCTTTCGGTACGATTTGGAGACCGGATCGTTAAATTGTACCACCTTGTTCCTAAATCGTACTTCTAATAGAACAAACAAGCTGACATTGCTTATTGTCATTTTGATATTAAAATAACATCTTTAACGTCAAAAATGACGGTAAACAATGTCAGATTGTTTACTGAGAAAATAAACAAAATTAATTTTAAAACTCTGTCGTTACAACTATAGAGTAAGCAGGGATTGAAAGAGGAAAGCACACGGCCACGACTAGACAAGATCTACTGCGGTCAATCAGTACGCACGTATGCACAGCGCCGTGCGCCAGGACGAAGAAGAACGCGTAGTAGTGACATTACATAGATGAGCGCACGCACGATTAAAATATGCTATCATTACGCAACGATAGATGTCACGGCAAGAGCACGAGTATCGATAGTATAGTCGCAGTTACCGACTTCAACAAACTCATTTATTAATAAATTTATTTTTAATTTTAAACTGAGTATACATATTTAAGTAGGTATAATAAAAACTTTTCTATTATAAAAACAGAAATTAGATCTGTTTTTTAAACTCATTTAAGAAAACAAAGTAAAAAGCAATACTTAAATTGATTTAAGCTATCATTGCACTGTATTTCAGAATATTAGAATCTCAGATGTTTTGAAAAAATAAATTTTTGAAATAAAATCAATTACGTATTTTTGCGTCACAATAGAAAAGATTCAATAGAAAGACTCAATAGGAAAATTTAATAGAAAGATAGTTGATAAGTAATCAATAGTTGATAAGTAATCAATAGTTGATAAATAATCACTTTCTTGAGCGCTTATTTAAACAGTTTCGATAAATGTCAAGATTGTCACTACAGGTTTCGTGCAACCACTTAGAGCACCACATACTGCATCCCGTCTACTGTAAGTTCTTTTTTATCATAATAATAACCTCCACATATTGCTCGTGTCACTTGCGAAAATCGTACCGGTACAGTATAAAGACCAGCGACAAATACGATTTACTGAACTCCCTCTATTTTTTTACAAATTTGCCAATAACAACATAACTTATAAATATCTTGCTAATTTGATGCTATACTTGAAAAGAGTTTAAATATCGATTATAACTATGAAGGACACTATAATTTAACTACCCACCTTGTACTGATAACACCTTAGGTAAATTATATCAAAACTTAGATCAGACACCGAACAAAATCAATTTTAAATGTCACTCGTAAACAGACGACTCAAAGACAAAACAAAAATAATAGTTCTTAATCTATATTACCAGCGTCACATCAGTGTCATTATCTTTAAAAAAAAAATGTTTCGTTTAGAAAATACAATGGAGGTACGATTTAACCGTCGGTACGACTTAGCCAACTCTCCCCTACATATACAGGGTGTTTGAAAATTATCGGCTAATCGATCACGAGCAGGTAGAACGGACCGAATTGAATCGAAAAATCTTATACCATTTTGTAAGTTGCACAATAGTTAACGAGATATTAACGTTTAAAGATAGCCGAATAAGCGCGTCCGGCCGACCTACTCTCTCTCTGCTGCCGAATATACAACCTACCGTCC